AGGTTCAAAGTAGTCAGCGTGGGGTTCTTGCAAAGTGCATTTGCTAAGGCTTTCCCTCCTTCTGATCCAAGATTATTATTGTAAAGATTCAAAGAAGTCAGCGTGGTGTTGTTGCAAAGTGCATTTGCTAATGCTTTTCCTCCTTCTGATCCAAGATTATTATTGCAAAGATTCAAAGAAGTTAACGCGATGTTCTTACAAAGTGCATTAGCCAATGCTTTTCCTTCTTCTAATCCAAGATTATTCGAATGAAGGTTTAAATCTTTCAAAGTGGTATTCTTGCAAAGTGCATACGCTAATGCATTTCCTCCTTCTAATCCAAGATTATTATAGTTAAGATCCAAAGAAGTCAGTGTGGTGTTCTTGCAAAGTGCATTTGCTAATGCTTTTCCTCCTTCTGATTCAAGATTATTAGTATGAAGATATAAAGAAGTTAAGGTGGTGTTCTTGCAAAGTGAATTTGCTAATGCTTTTCCTCCTTCTGATCCAAGATTATTACTACCAAGGTTCAAAGTAGTCAGCGTGGGGTTCTTGCAAAGTGCATTTGCTAAGGCTTTCCCTCCTTCTGATCCAAGGTTATTCGAATGAAGTTTAAATCTTTGAGCGTGATATTTTTGCAAAGTGCATCTCCTAATGCTATTCCTCCTTCTGGTCCAAGATTGTTTTCACCAAGATTCAAAGAAGTCAGCATGGTGTTGTTGCAAAGTGCATTTACTAATGTTTTTCCTCCTTCTGATCCAAGATTATTATTGTAAAGATCCAAAGAAGTTAACGCGATGTTCTTGCAAAGTGCATTAGCCAATGCTTTTCCTCCTTCTGATCCAAGATTATTCGAATAAAGATATAAATCTTTCAACGTGGTATTCTTGCCAAGTGCACCCATTAATATTGTTTCATCAATATTAGTGTTAAGTGTTAAATATTTAAGATTTTTACTTGCTCGCAGAAACATTGCAACTAAAGAGCATATAACAACATTTACAAGTTGATTTTTATCAGCATATATATGTTGAAGTTTATCTTTTTCGAAGTAGTTTCCTTTATCTTTAAGCCAATTTATGACTCCATCAGCCAAATTATGACTAACAGATCTAGTATAACTTTCATATTCAAATAATGGCCTTGGGTAATTCGGAAGAATAATTTTAAAGGGAATCAACAGAGCCCGTTCTTCAGCATTTAACGCAAAAAGATATATTCTTATAAGTCTTTTATCTTTATAGTAATGTTTAGGTTCACACCATAATATTGGTATAATAATTCTACACCATTGACGATTTACAAGAAGGCATGAAAATAAGCTTTTATAATCAGTTTGATAATAAGTTTGAAAATTATTAAATATTTCAAGAAGGCATTCGTTCGGTAACATTATCATATTGAAAGAATTGTGAATTTAGTAAAACGGTAAAAAATCGGATTTTGCTTCCGATATATAACCAATGTAGAATGTTGTGAAACGTTGTAATCTGCCTGCACAACGGTGACATATTTTATACGCAGCATTATTATGCCTATGTTTTTAACTTTATGAATAGATATTTTTTTATGTTCGTAATTGATTCTCTTTGTTTTTATATTTTCATACGAATTTTAAAAAATTTTTGGGCCATTTTTTTAGTTTGTTTTTGGGGTTAGATTAGGAATCATGCTTAAAGCTGTCAATAAAAAGATATTGTCTTCATGGTAATATGAGGATTATTAGATTCATAAAATTCCATTATTACTCTAATTCGAAAACAACGATAATATCAATATGTTATATTCAGTTTTGTCGGTTTATATTTGATAGATTTCACAGTTTAATCTAACTTACAAAAATGCATTTACTGTAAACAATCACGTGAATAGTTTATATTTTTATTATCGTATTTTGTCAAACAGCAGAGACCGTTAATGTTACACATATATTAAAACTGGTGAGGGATTATATCCATCACAATTGAATCCAATATTAATAATATAATTTGTGATTGGTCACAGGAGAGAGGGATTCATGAGTATTGACCAAGGATGGTAAATGATCTGAAATGACCCAAATGACCCAAATGACAAATGACTAGTCATTTGTAGAGATGGGTTCATGTGTGGCATGATTCCTCAATCATGCGCATTTCATCCCATCTGAATTTTATATAGGAAAATTAAAGTATATATAATTTAGGTCAGAATACATAATGCCGGGCGGTTTTAAGAAATAGGAACACAAATGGTCCGAAAAATTCCGAAAAGAGAATGCATCAACCTAAAGGACGTCCGAGATTTTCCGAAGGGAAAATATAAAATCAAAAAATTATATTATGCGATATCATGAGCATTTTATATAATGCGCATGTTATTATAAAATTTCCCCCATCTCTAGTTGTTCCCATATTGATCACGTAGTTGAAGCGTCTTCCACGAAAAAATACCCCAAAGTAATTGCTTGACCGTTTTGATAGCTAATTTAAAATTAATAAAAAATTATAGAATATTATTAAGAGGAATATTAAAAAAACAGTAGCTAAAAACTTATATAAATTAGATAATTCGTGGATTTCTTTCCTATTCCACAAACCAAAAAGCTAATTTTGTGGAATCAATTAGCAATTTTTGTAGACCCATAAATAATAAATAGGGATTAGTATTCTGCATTAAATTTTTTATTAATAAATCTAGAACTTTTCGTCTTTTTTTAATGAGCCATTGGTCATGTGTTTTGCGCAGTCGTTATGAAGTTAAGTTCTTAACACACTATTAAATTAGTGGCTCAGGTTCTAACAACGTTAGAAACATGAAAACAAGGTCACATCATGTTATTCCCTTATTCGTGGTATTACCGGGCAGATAGACATTCATGTAAGGCCAGACCAATTTAATTCGGGGGTTTACGTTCCCCCCCCCCCCCCCCTCTTAGTAAAAAAAATTTTGGGCTATATATATATGTTCGGAGAGCTGGAATTAAGATTAGAAACTGTATGCGACCAAAAAATTCGAAGTGAAAATGAACGAACATAAAAGACGAGCAAGGGCAGGCCGAGAATTTCCGATTGAAAAAAATTTTAGTAAAACTTACTATGTATACGGTTCATTCACCCCCTCCCCCTTGAAAAAGGAATGTAATGTAAACCACCCAATTAAGTTGGCATCGCCTAACTAAAAATAAATTACCTCATTAACAAACTCTTTAGTTGCTTCTTTGGTTTGGAGGTTTTTCAATGCGACTTTTTCTCCATTATAGTCAGCCGAATAAATATATCCAAACCCGCCTTTATGAATTTTAATGGTTGAAAGTTAAAATTTTTTTTAATTATTTAAATAAATATGTACAAATAATTAGAGAATCATACCTCTTCCAATAGCATCAATATCGCTGAACAGTGAATAATCAAAAAGGTGTATATTACCATTTGCCACTTCATCTTCTAACCATTTAGTGTATTTTCCTGACATTATCGGTTTCTACTCTAATCATTGTGAAAAAAAGAGAACGTATCCCATTTTGAAATCGTTAGTTCGTATGTGTTTGTGTATCCATGTACCGCATATTTTCGGCCAATCATTGGACATGCTCCACTGGGGTGTGTAACATCGGTCTAATTACAAACATAGTGCAGATGATATAGTGATGATCACTAATCAAGATTTTTTATAGTAAAAAAT